CCACACCTTGTGCCATTATTAACATACTAATCAGTTGTGTTACCGTTTATGTGCTGAAATTGCAGTTACTATTTTATCATAAACGTGACATAAGCTACAGTTTTAGACGTATTGTTTTCAAATTTGGTTCCAGAGTCATGCCCACTTTTTCCGAAAACTTTGTATTTAACAGATTGTTTTTCAACTTCACTGTCATGAGTGGACGAACTCTATCGATTTTCAGCTTTCCGAAACCTTCAATTCCGGAGTAATCCATCATTTGCAAGACACCTTCTGAACGCGATATATGCTACAGTTTTGACAAATGTATTTCGAATTCGGTTTGAATCATTGGGGCCATGAGAACCCTGTCGATAGAGGTACCTCATATTTGTCCAAAATCTTGTGAACACGACAGAGGCTACATACCTCGGAGAAGAAACTGGGAGTCAGATGATGCCTAGAGTAATTGGTCAGTCTGGTATGATAGTAATACTGATCGAAAACACAAAAGTGTATGCGCGAAGTGGGGGTGTCAGGTACTTTAGTTTTTTTCGATCTAAACCACTTTTCTGCCACCTCTCTCACTCTCTCTCGAAAAGCGATAAATATGGGGCAACCGAATATCAGATATCCACACCTCTGCAACCATGCTACAAGCAAGGCTGATATTTTTTTTACAATTGATTCACACTGTGATGGCATCCATTACTACACATTTAGTTTATTTGCTTTCATTATCTACTTCTAATGATATGCATATATATTTTATATTGCTTGAAAGTGCTATATTCATATATTTCAACCAAATTAACGATAAATGGTTGGCATAATATATATATTTACGTGAATATCAACTGGAAAACCTATTAAGATTTTTTTTAATGTGAGTTCAACGCTTGAAAGTTAATTAGATTTAACTAGTTTCTCCAACACCACTTGCTTTTGTTTACTTATGCCTAATGCGTTTTACATTGCTTAAAAGTTTTAACGCTAATACGTTGACATTACTTATTTGTCTGAAGATCATAATTGAAAAACAGTACAATTTGTTATGTTCTCAACAGCACAAAGCTGGTTAGATTTAAAGGAGAATACTACCGCCAAAAGTTGTTTTAATATGAAAAATAACGTTAATATTTTTGGCATTGCGAAATTTTAAAAGTCATTCTGAATATTTTTACAGAGGAAAAATATACCAAAAAAGAACCACGAATTGACATTTATGCATATCTGCAGCCTCGTTTTGATTTTTTTCGGTGAGTGACGGCAGACGTTGTAAATTTCCCTAAAGAAGGCTATTGCAACTGAGCACTGCATCCCGTCATTTTGACTAACTGAAAGCATAAACTTGGTCATTTGCGTTGCATGGGGATGTACTAATAACATAAATCGGGAAGCACATGCAGAAAGGTCTGGACACATAATTAATACCTGTCTGTGTGAGTGTTTGGACTGAGCAGCAGTCTACAAAGCGTTTGTAACAAGAGACTGGTATTAGGAGCCTGGCTTGTAGGATCTTGAAGACGGAGAAAATCCTGGGGCCATTGTGGCTCAGTGAGTAAGGCGCTGGTTAGCCAACCTGAAAGACCCGGGTGTTGGCCGAGAAAGTTCCTCAGGATTTTCCGGCTTGGTTTCCCTTTAACAGTGTACTCAGGGCCTGGAAGAAAAGTGTTTGGTTGTTGGGTTCAGCTAGAACTCAAGAGGTCGTGTGTAAAAGAACCCTTGACACTTGAAAAATGAAATAAGAGAAGGTCGTAGCGCTCTAAAATTCCACTCGTGCAAACATTCCGATAGCACACTGTAGAAAAGTGGGGTGTTTAAAAAGTCATTTCATTTTTCCAATAACTATACTTGGTCTTTGATATTTTTTATTACAAAGAAATTTCTAAAGCAAATACGCATTAGAAAAGTGATAAGATTATAATGTGTATTGACAGATATATTCCCGATGTTTTCAGAGCAAAGGAGTTCCCACCACATGGAGCTTGAGGGGCTGAAGAAGGAGGAGGAGGGTGCTGCATTCGGCAATTAGTAACAGACAGGCATGTTTCTGTGAAGAAGTACGAGGGAACAGCAGCCCGACAAGAAACATTACTTTGACTTGTAGCATATGTCGAAAGGTAATTTAAAGATACATTATGGGGGATTAGATAAAGAGCTGGCAGTTCTCAATATAATAATTGAAAACTAGATAATGTAAAGGGAATTTGCTGAAAATTTCAGTCAAATTGATCCACTCTGAACCGAGATTTTACCGATTGAATATTGGGGCTAGCCTCGATCATCATTACTAAAGTCGGTAGGATAAAAACATAGTCTCGATTATCCATTTTTTGATTTAATTATGAATGGAGAGTGAGAGAGAAATGGGGTTTAACGTCCACTCGACATAAACTAAGTCATTTCGGGACTAACATATGGTTTAATTTTATTTCAATAATTCGCTTGCTCGTAGGGGTCTTTAGTAGTGGGAGGAAACCGGAGGACCCGGAGAAAACCCACGAGGTTGGACAGGCGACCCCACTCCTTGTCACGTACAACCGGGGATTCAAAACCACGCCAGCTGATTCAATGACAGGCCTTATGATACAGCGCGCACGAATTATGAATGGAAGTCGAACAGCAAATCGGAACCTAATCCATTAAACGTCACAGGCTAGCGATGCCATCGAGAGTTGATTATGGTCTGGATAAGTTAATTAATGTCTAAAATTAGATAACATTTCAGACCTAAAGAAAGACCTGCAATAGCCCGATTTAGCTCTTGCATAATGTATGTTTAAGTAGCATGGATAAATGAGCTTATCTTCAATAAAAAAAAAAGCTTGATCTCGCTTTAACACTGTAATCAAGACCTTCATGTAAAATTCTACATTTCGTCAAAATTTTCAATCTAACCTCTCAGATTCCTTGATAAAAAAATATCATCGCGAATACCACATTTCGTGCTTTTCAACTGAAATATCTACCTGTGATAAGTTGGAAAGTTCAAGTTCATTCAACGTCAAGGTTTTTCTAAAAAAAAAAAAGCTTCGATTGCTTTTCCTTCAGCTGCTGTAAACTCTTCCTGTGAAAGTCACCTTTGTTTTGGACAATGTTATTGGTTACGTGTCTGCAGTAAAGGGTGATAACGTAGCTAAAAGTTTAGGAATTTCAGACTGATCTTGCAGGAACATGAAATAAGCTTTACCCTCACACAGCCCCCACCACCACCACCTCCCCTGACTCTCCTATTGATTCATGCTTAACTTTAGAAATTTTATGTATCATGATTATTAGTATCTTTAAAAGTGATATTGTCCTATTTTAGGACAATGAGAGGCTTAATGTGATGAAGTTTATTTGTGCTAGCGGCCATAAATTAAATGATTTAATGCAAGATTTAAAATCATGATATGGTAATAAAAACAGAGATATGGGAAGATCTATAGTCTGCTTTAGAAGAAATGCTATTTGCTGATAATACGAGAAGGGTATAATTTAGATGCCATTTAAAGACATATCTTCCATTCACTCCATTCATTAAATATTCCCTTATCTGTGTTGATAAATCTACGCTGATGAAATAATAATAATTATTATTTACAGTTTGTTTTTCGACCAAACTTGACCAATTTGTCTGAATTATTGCATACTTTATAATGTAAACATGTCGATTAAACTACGAAGTCAAATGAAAAAGAAACATTTTTGATCAGTCGCCGCTACACCGATAGTATTTATTGCGCATGCTAAGTCTTTATATAACTCAATATCATCCAAAGTCTTGAACACTGAAAACACGAATAACATTGATGTTGTGATCTACCGGGAAAGGATGGGCTTTTGATATCCAATATTTAAGATAAAATAAACAATAAATACTATCGGTGTAGACTGGAATAACCAGACCTTAGAGATTGCCATTTGATTGAGACTTCTGGCGTATTTCGCCGAACATAGCTGATTTGAAACAAGCCAACAGTGAGGCTGATGTAGCCCGCCGAAATCCCAAAATAAATAGATGACACATATTAATTACATGTAATAGCACATTTATTTTTTTCAAAAGTTTCAAGCAATCACGCTAATTATCAACTATACACTAAGCTTCTTCGTCACTCGCTATCAGATAGAATAAAAGTTATCTTGTCTCAAAGCATCGTCCAATGAAACTGCTTAGCTTTAGCTCGAAATGTCAATCATTGAACTCAGTCAAGACATTCACCTAATGAACATCTGCATCAAGTTTAAAAATTCTACCTTAATTAAAAGCAGAGTTGTTATGTTCCAAAAGTCTTGACCAAACAAATTGCTTATCGCTACTTAGCCTAAGCAGAAAAGTCTCATCATCGAACTTAGTCAAGGTAATGATATAATGAATCTATACTCGGAGTTTCATCACTCTCACTTAATTAAAGGTAAAGTTATCGGCCCCAAAGCATCAACCAATCAGATTACTTATCTCTACTTACCGTAAGCAGACACTGTTTATCATTGAACTCCACCAATGCATTCACCTACACCAAGTTTGAACATTCTAGCTCAATTAGAAGGAGAGTTATTGTGTTCCAAAGTCTGCTTACCCTGAGCAGAAAATGGTCATTATCGAACTTAGTCAAGGTATTGATGTAATGAAACTATACACCAACTTATCACTCTCACTTAATTAGAATTAAAGTTCTCGTGTCCCAAATCATCAACAAATTAAATTGCTTATTCCTGCTTACCCTTAGCAGAATGGGCTCATCTTCGAACTTCATCAAGGCATTGACCTAATAAACACCTACACCAAGTTTGAACATTCTAGCTTGATTAGAAGTAGAGTTAGCTCCTTTAATAACTTTTGTTGTATGACCTTGGTGATTGTGAATCTTCTTGATTTAGTTCATGTGCTCATTTTTTGTAATATGATAAAACATCTTATACTTTATCAGGTTAAAGATAAACTACTAATGTCCATCTGATTGTGTATATATATACATTTGTATAGGTAAATAATTAATGATACACCTGCTAGCGTATACCGAACAGGTAACAATGGTTATGGGAGAGGGTCGATTGTTGATATTTCTTGTGATAATATGTACGAATATTGATTCTAATGTCTCAAAACCACCCCACATAATCTTTATAGTTGCCGATGATTTAGGTGAGTATTTTTAATGGAAATGAAACAAAATGGAATGGGGTTTAACGCCCTACTGTTCTGCCCGGACGGGGCTAATGAAGACGGGCATACGCCATACAGTGTGCCATGAGGGAAATTTTTCTCGGGCAGCGGCACTATGGCCTACTTTTATATCAAATTCCAACTGCCAGGGTCTACACGAGACCTCCGTCCTGCATCACTGATCAGGGGAAACCACGTCAGAAAATCCCGATGAACATGTTCTGCCAATACAGGGATCGGACACGCGATCTCAAGGCTAACGAGCCATGATCTTACCCAATTAGCCACAGTTTAAATGGTATTGTTGAATAGGAATAATATTTGCATATCCTCTTTCTCCCAGATTTAATGTTTTTCCACTTTTTTACTTATTGTTATACTTACATTGTATATATTATTATTATACTCGATTAACTACATGTTTTTAAATTGTATGAGATTATTACGAGAAGTTCGAGACTAAAGATGACGCCTTGAAATTGATGATTGCCTGTCCAGTCCCTAAAATCTCCAGTTCTGGCACCCTCGCAGCACGCCCATTGATTATGATTAGCATAGCCACAACAGCATGTACATAACCCTGGTAATGTAAACCCGTGTTCACAAGCCCAATATATACCCGGGAACAGAACTTTTCAGGTTAAAGTATAACCAGTCTTAGAATGTTTCGTGCTTTATTCAAAGGTATCGGAGGGTTATTCACATTATCTGCCCTTGATCGTAGCTTGATTCTACGAACCAGTTTAAGGGAGCCACGGTGGCTAGGTGGCTAGGACGCTGGCTCGGTAGCCTGGAGGTCGGGTGTTCGATCCCTGCATTGGCAGAACCTGTTCATCGGGATTTTCTGACGTGGCCGAGAAATTTCATCTTGATTTTCCGACGTGGTTTCCCCCTTGATGCAGAACGGAGGGCAGGCAAAGAACAGCTGTCTTGTCCTTCGGATGAGACGGAAAACCGGTCCCGTGTATATATTGGAATGCACCTAAAAGATCCCCTGGCAGTTGGAATTCGATATAAGAGTAGGTGATAGTGCCGCTGCCCGGGCAAAATTTCCCTCATAGCACACTGTATGGCGTATGCCCGTCTTCATTAGCCCAGTATAGGAGCAGAGCAGTAGGACGTTAAACCTCATTTCATTTCACGAACTAGTCTAAGGCGCATTGTTTATGTTCACAACAATATGGCCATCTGTTTGTTGCAACAAGATGGGAGTTACTTCCCTTCGCCAAACTCTTCTGTATTTAACGATTTTAAGATTGTTCGATAAAAATTAGTACAGTCATCAAGGGCATATACAGGGGCAGATCCAGGAATTTTTGCTGGGGGGGGGGGTCATGTTCCTGAGACAATGTATCTCCCTCTCCCGCTTGGTCTCTATCGTCATTTTGGCGTATATACATACACATTGAGCTTTTAAAACAGAGAAATTCAACACTGCGTTTGACGTCAATTTTTATTATGAATTAATACAATGACTTTGTGATTCAATTTCATGGATGCAAAGCATTAATTGTGATATCACATAATGTCTATATCATTATCTCGTGCTTTGAGAGCCCATCCTGTCCCAAATCTGACGATAAAGGATAAGGCACACGGCCGAGAAACCTTTCTCATAAAAAGTGTTGATTTACAAAAAAAAATTATGTAGCTGAGCAGGGGTGGGGGGTCGACCCCCCAACCCCCCCCCCCTCTGGATCCGCCCCTGATATACATGTAATTTGAATATGTATCTTCCCCATGGATGAACCAATGGGTTAATGGAGTGGAACGGAATGAGACAACTGGGGACACCGAGGACGTTCACTATGGGACTGGACTTGAATCTCCGGGGTTTTATGAGCGGTACCTAGCTGATTGGGATATGTGACGTGGACGAATGCCACACCACCCCCATAGCAATATACACGTAATTAAAATAAAACATAAATAACGGTATGGTATCGACGACCATTAGATCTTAATCCATTCAAATTGAAAATATTGTCTCGTCTTTCCATTGGTGAAAGATCCATCGCGCTCCTGTCTTCAGTTTTTATTTCATCACACATTTTACTTTATGGGACTAAACATATCAATGTGTAATCATTAACATAGAAGAGTGCATAATAGGTGTATAATTTAATTCACTAAACCTGTAAATTGCACCATTTTTTATTATTCTTGCACATCTTTTATGTTAAAATTGAATTGTTTATATTTATAGGAGAATGTGTTAAATAGGCTATGCTTGTTTCCAACCCAATTCATTAATGAATAAAATATTGTTTTATATATTTGTTTTATATTTAGGCTGGAATGATGTAAGTTGGCACACAGATGAAATATTGATGCCAAATCTGGACAGGATGGCACGTGCTGGTGTTATATTAAACAACTCCTATGTTCAACCGATGTGTTCCCCGTACGTTTTAATTTCATTCTACTTCAGACTGAACAAATGAAATCGGGTTTAACGTCTTGTTTTTCTGTATACTTCAGACTCTAATCAACTTAATTCTTGACAATTAATACTGATCGATGAACAAAACCATAAAGATAAAATAACTGTGTTTTGTTCAGGTATATTTGTAATCAAGTCATTCAAAAGACGTGCACGGCAAGACTAACTACCATTTTGTTTCTGCAAAGTCGTCGGTGGGGTGGGATTATTAACTGATGAAAGCGTGATCAGTTTAAGAGAGAACGGTGACGTATCTACAATATGGCACGACGTACTCTGGGTACTCCTTGAAGGGGGCGCAAACTAAGAGGTACTGCAGAATGTTGTCGTGCATTTCGTTTTGCATTTGCATCCATGAAAGCAACGAAGGTGCAGTTGTAATTTCCATGTAGTGCCATATCTTGTTAGTTAAAGGATTAACGAAATTGACTTTATGTTGAGCTGATTTTAAATATGGGTGTCTATTGTTTAGACAGGGGCCCAGTTCCATGCTTGCCATAGGCGATGTTTTCCTGAGAGGAGTGCGATAAAGTTTTAATCCACGCTTTTAATTACTAGTATAAATTATATTACAGATCTAGAAGCGCCTTTATGTCTGGTTATTTTCCCTTTCACACGGGACTGCAGGTAAATGATAATATACATTAGAGACCTTTGGCATCCGTACAAACACGAACACTAACCCGGCATTGCTTCGTGTGACGTCATCTCGTACAATCGTGTTAGCGAGTAGAAAATGTTACGCGTACGGCGTTTGATTCACGCGTTTGAGTTTATAAACATCTTTAGATAATATGTTCGATCATTTGCATAGAAATATAACATAATTTAGAAATGATCGTACGTCGGATTGTGTATTTGTTTTTGTACCGATGCAGAAGATCCCTATCATATATCAGCATGTCTCTTTTATCAACAGTCTTCAGCTTTAATGCTGCTTCATAGAACCCATAGGGATACAGCTTAATGGACTAGACATCCTCCTGTCTTTGCCAATGGTGACTTGATGAGCGGATTTCCAAGGTGGCGGGTCAATTGTACGCACATACTTCTTATTTGGCAGCTGTTTAGGATCGATTATGTTTTTCAATAAAAATGAAATTAACAAATTCTGTTAGAATAAATTTGAATCTAGTGCTCTAAACAATACTACCGTATATTTTCACAGCACGATGTGATTGGCGCAAGACAGGCGAACTTTCTAGAATCGAAATACAAAATACTACCCCAGTACCTTAAAGAAAAAGGATATGCAACACATATAGTCGGCAAGTAAGTGGATATTATTGTTTTAAAAAAATCAGAAAAAAACAACACACCGCATTTCAAGCATGTTGCATCAAACTCTTAGTAATGAAACCGTCTCTTGAGTCTGAAGTTATAACTATTGACCTGTTTTTAATTTCTGTACACATACGTAGAAGCACTATTTTAATAACTTTCTGCGTTTGATCAGTTGAGTAAATTATTCAGAAGATTGGTTTTTGAGCATATATTATTTTTCGAACACTGGCAGGAATGGTAAAAAAACAAGCACACTAGCCTGAAGTGTACCACAAGGATCGGTACTGGGGTCAGTTTTATTTTGCAAGTACAAGAAACATTTGGTAACCTGCTCGTTAAAATCGATTTATTTTAAGGTGATCACAAATCATTAATGCCGTGTATCGTCTTGGGTAAACATATAAAGATGTTTAACAGATGTGAAAGATAATCAGTTTTCCGTGTCGCAGTGTATGGGACGGTGTCTTTATTTGAAATAACATAACTGACATTTAGATTGATATATTGTTGTAAAATAAAATATGTTGTTCCAGATGGCATTTAGGATTCTGTAATTGGAAATATACACCAACGTACCGAGGTTTTGACAGTTATCTGGGTTATTATGTAGCTGCAGAAGATTATTATAAACATAACAACAGTGAGTACATTGCTTGCGTAAGTCTGGCCTTGGAGATTGGCTCAAATCCTATGGGGCAAACAGGAGGGAGGAAGTTGGTTCGTGTCAACCTCGCATTGTTCATATTTGTTAACCCATATGTTCATCTAGAAGCGAGAGCCTTGACCATAATGTGAACACTGTCATATTCATTTGACATTTAAAGTAGCTAAGTCTCTAACTCAATATCATCCAAAATCTTCAACATTCAAAACGCGAATTATTTGTCAATTTAAATCAACATTGATGTTGTGATCTTACCGGTAAAAGATGGGCTTCTGATATCTAATATTTAAGACAAAATAAACATTTTACCATTGGTACACGAATCGTGTACCATAATGCGTTTCAGCGCCATTTGTAACAAGGAACTAGGAAAACCAGACTAAGCATATTCAACAAATCATGTCAAACGGTGACATATTCTTATCTGGAGAGCATGCGCAATAAATACTATTGGTGTAGACTGGAATAACCAGACACTAGAGATTTCAATTCGATTGAGACTTCTTGAGTATTTCGCGGAACATAACTGATTAGAAATTAGAGTAAAAACAGGAATTATTGAATGTAAATTAGTTTATATACATTCATATTACATTATTATATGCGTTGCGACCCATTTGTATCAATTTCTAAATCCCAAATATTAGCGATTTAGCTCCTTTAAACATATTTTGATTTCGGGCAAGGTTCTGAGGTACCACGGATTCAAGTGCAGAGGGTGCTACTTATAGCAAAGAAAGTCGATGGTTAAACGTATTAGATTTCAGACGTGGTTAACGCTTAATGCTTATATCATAATGTATGTACCGTAAACACAACGTGAAGTCAAGAAAAGTCTAAAAGAGAATAACAAAACAGGTCATACATAATAGATAGCTATCTATGAGGTCAGACTGCTTTAGTGTTGATTTGGATTGCCGTGATACTGGATGATAGTGTCACATGCATTATAAGAGAATCAAATAATAAGTGGTTGGTTGAGTCTTAAGTAATAAAACTTAATTGGGTCTAATTCTTCACATAATAAATATAACCCTTCACTGGGTAGAATGTCGTCTATGACAATCCGAAGAATATAAGCCCAGGTGGTTCTTCTGGTAAAAACTATTGAGAGGCGCACATCAGTATAATGTATGTTCGATTCAGGCATATTTGTACTCAGTTAGAAATGCAGCGGTGATTTAGCTGGCATACCGTATCCCAGAATTTTATTTTGCCGTTCACAAACAATGTCAACTGTACATATATCTATTCTGATTAAACAATTCCACATGTGAGGTGATCTGTAACTCAAGATTTTCTAAAAAAAAAAAAATGCCACTAAAATTAGGTTCGCAAAATATTAAGTAATATATGTTGCTAGCAACATAGTCCAGGCAGATCTTTACCAACTTCAACCTTCTTGATCGGCTGCGTCGAACACATATCGTTTCCAATTAATATATCATCTTGTTCTATTATTATAGGTAATGGTTATGATTTTAGGTTTAATACCTCTGTATTGAATACAACTGAATATTCTTTAGTAAGTATGTGATGGGTTGCAAACCTTGAGTTGAAAACACAAAATGAACAGCTGAATATTTATTAGTTAGCAAAAGAGATTGGCATTAAATTGGGACGATAACGAACCTACTTAGTTTCATTATTAAGCATTTAATTAAAATTATTTTAGTATTATTTCCTCTATAAATGACCAATGCTAATTCCAAATTTCCTTCGGTAAGCATAATTATATAACTTTTTTCAGCTGAATATTTATTAGTAACCAACAGAGACTGCTCATTAAGGTGGTACCATACACCCGACCCCATAGCAAACCCACTTAGTTTCATTATGAAGTATTAATCAGGGGAGAGAGAGAGAGAGAGAAATGGGGTTTAACGTCCACTCGACACAAACGAGGTCATTTCGGGACTAACATATGGTTTAATCTTTTTATTTCAATAATTCGCTTGCGCGTAGGGGTCTTTAGCAGTGGGAGGAAACCGGAGAAAACCCACGAGGTTGGACAGGCGACCCTACTCCTTGTCACGTACAACCGGGAAATCGAAACCCCGCCAGTTGACTCAATGACAGACCGTATGATACAGCGCGCGCGTGCTAACCATTCGGCCATCCAACCCCCCATATTAATCAGGATCATTGGAGTGATAGGAGGAGATTGTATTGCATGCAAGTAACTATTCGGTTAAATATAATGACGTAACTTGGAAGAGGCCCGATTTTTACATAGACGTGATTGGGAAAATCGTTTAACAGAGAATTGACATATTTAATTATTATCGCTCTAATCGCCAGGTTGTGTAATGTTAATTTAAGTAAGAACGTATACTTTAAGAAGAAAAGAAATCTACTATTCTCTAACTGATGCATGGTTAAAAGCCGCCCCCCCCTCCCCTCCCCTCCCCTCCCCTCCCCTCCCCCCAGTTGCGAGGGTCGCGAAAAGTTAACTGAACTGCCTTTATTTCAAGTCCATCTAACTTCCCTTTTATCTATGACGATTAGGTAATTAGAAAAACGTCGGACGGGATAGAGTTTTTCCCACCTTCTTTCCTTGCGACCCTTGATCAAATAATTAACTGCTGTCAGTTATGTGCAGTTTAAAAAATGTGAAACATTTATCCACAGTCTTCGACATTGCAAACACAACGTATTGGTCAATTTAAATCAACATTGCTGTGGTTATCTTACCGTGACAAAATGGGATTCTGATATCCAATATTTAAGACAAAATGAAGATTTTAGAATTGGCACACGATTCGCGTGCCAGAATGCCTGTGTGCGCCATTTGTAATGATGAACGAGGCTAAAGACATCCCACAAGAGAATTCTAGCGGTGTAGACTCGAATAACCAGACACCAAAGACCGTCATTTAAGTTTTATTAGAAATTACAGTAAAAACAGAAACGATTGAATGTAAATGTACATTCATATTACATTATTATATGCCTTGCGATCCATTTGTGTCCATTTCTAGGTGCCAAATAACACAGATTTAGCTCCTTTAATGCACGGTGGTTAATTGCCCATGTGAATTATATCCCTCACATTCAGGCAGTGTATCTAATAACATATATTTTTCCAGTTCAGCCTCACAAGAAAACAACATCGACTGTTTTCATAGCAAGGAATTTAGAAAATAAAAATTAAAACTTCATCTCATCGCAGAGTAATTTTTTAAGCTCGTCACAACGAGCTTTCGGGGCGTAGGTAGACCCTCGCCTAAAGTCCTAGAATGGTAATCCCCCCCCCCCACACACACACACACACACACCCACACCAATCAATCAAGAATTGCTTTAGCCGGCTCTGTATGTCCAATCCTAATGCCATGTCTATTTCAGGAAGTATTATTAAAAGGATTTTTTCATGTGGTTTCAGGATGTATTTACCAGAAGAGCCAAAGAAATATTAACGACTCATACCATAAAGACACCACTGTTCCTGTATTTGCCTTTCCAAAATGTTCACGCTCCGTTAGAGGTATTTAATAATATTTTTGGTTGTCTGGCAATACCATTTTGCTTAAACAAAATGTTGAAGGATATGCAAGATCTTAGGCATAGCATTTGCACATAATTGCTTTTGAATCATGTTTAATATTGGCTGCCAAGAATGGAAAATAAAATTCATTCTAACATCAGTGATACATTCAAATTATATATTTTTGATGAAAACGAATATCAGGACATCAAGGAAATGATCCGCTCTTTTCATCAGGGAATGTGGAATCAATGTAGGTATAAAACGAAGTAAGAATCTATAACGGACAAGTAAAAACTAAAGATATCCCTACTAACACACCGCGTATATACAATGCAAACACTTGATATGTCTCTATTTTTGTCAACAATGTTGTGCTTTTGCAAACTACGTTTCTGTATATTCCATTAGGTACCAGAAAAGTACGAGAAGAAATTTGCCAGCATTCAAAACCGAAGTCGTCGAATTTACAGCGGTAAGTTAAATGGTTTGGTTAAGAAGAGATTAATCCGGCAATTTATATAGGTAATTTGCCCCATACTTCAGCCTGCATTAATTTTTGACCCCATTAAAAATTTGTGTTATTTAGTCAGTATTACCATTAACGTCATTAGCAATTTGAACTTTACAGGAATGGTGTATGCACTAGATGAAGCAGTAGGTCAAATAATGAAAGTACTGGATGACCAAGGCTATATGAATAACTCTATAATAATTTTTACAACTGATGTAAGTAGACTATGACAAGTTTCTGTCTGGCTTTGTTTTTCTCAAGATGACCGTCTTGATGTTGATAAGACTGGTCATTCTCGTTAGTTGACAAGGCACATTACTTAACGACGTGCGGTGCCTCTTTCTATTGATCTGAGAAGTCACGGTGGCTAAGTAAGTAATACGCTGGCTCGCTCCCGGTGTTCGCCGAGAAAGTTCATGGGATTTCCCCTTGTCAATGTCGAAGGATGGAGATCCTGACAAGGACAGCTGTCTAGTCGTTCGAATGGGACAAAACCGTGGTCCCGTGGACATATTGACGTGCACGTAAAAGATCCCTTGGCAGTTGGAATTCGATATAAGTTTAGACCGTAGCGCCGCTGTCAGATCAAAATCACCCTTATAGCTTCATTAGCCGGGTCTGACGTTAATCCAATTTCATTTCTATTGCTCTGATCCTAGAAGATATAATTCTATTTATATATACACAAACGCTGTCTATCTGAATTCCTCGAAGGAGAAGTGGTATTACCTGTTATTAGCCCAATGAAGCGATAAGTTACTCGTAGATTTGAGAAGCTGGAACTAGTTATGTTTAAGGGTGATCTGGTATAGTGCGTGGTATATGAATATTACTGTTAATCGATACACGCACATGTTATAATACGAAATACCAATCATGTGATAACACCTTCAGATAATTTTATAACCTGACCTGGACTGGAAAGAACATATTGACTTAGTCATCTCCATGGGTAGTTGTGTTTAACTAGAAACCATCATTAATTTTCCATGTTTGTAGTCATTGTAATTAATGACATCTGATAAAGATGATATCTAATCCACTTGTTTAGGTGAAATTACACCTCCGTATGCGTATAGAATTTAATGGATAGTTTGTGGCAGAGGGAGTGTGGAAGTTGAGATTCTCCATTCACACCTTAAAGGAGCTAAATCGCTAATATGCGGGACCTAGAAATTGACACAAATGAGTCGCAACGCATATAATAATGTAATATGAATGTGTATATAAACTGATTTACTTTTAATGCTGAAACGCATTACAGTACACGATTCGTGTACCAAGGTTGATAACAACACCAACGTTGATTTAAATTGACAAATAATTCGTGTTTTCAATGTCCAAGACTTGGATGATATTGAGTTAGAAACTTAGCTACTTTAAGGGTTGTTGTAGACTTGAATTGTGTTCGATTATTGTAAATATTTTATATTTACAATGCTGTTCGTCTTTTAAACTGATAGTATTGAAATGTTTACCCACTGAAGAACACCAACAGCTAATTACCATTTGTGTCATCTTTGTTATGTTTTAGATAACATTTGTGTCATCCTCCGCCATCAGCCCTGTTGGTGCAGAGAATAAGGACGTTATTCCCCAGTTCATTTCAGTTCAGTTCAATTCAAATAGCTTATTAGAAGTTAATGGGCGTGTAGCATGGTTTTAACTATATAGTATTTAATCTTACAGAATGGCGGACCTGTAGTTAGTGGTGCTAATAATCTACCATTACGTGGAGCTAAAACAACTATCTGGGAAGGTGGTACCAGGGGTGCTGCTTTTGTCTACAGTCCGACATATTTACATAAAACACAATATACTCACAATGGGTAAGAATACCTTGTCCTAATTGGCTACTAGCCATGTTTAAATCGAACTCCTGTTACAAAGTGAAAATGAATTAATCTGTCATCAAGCTGCACATATTTTGTATTCCTGTTAGACAACGCCTTACTGTCTGTCCAAATTCCCTTTAGGACTACTAACTGGTTATCATATGCATTGGCATAACAACGAAAGGATGTCTAACTTGTTATTCATTGGTATAACAAATTTCATATTGTCCCGGAGTCGAGAAGCAAGCTAAGTGCATTCTCTAATCCCGACTGGTTGCGCCTTACTGTTCGCCTTAAAGGGACAATAACACTCTTGCTGGCTTGAAAGTTCCAGAAAATAAATAATATCTCTATCTAAGTACTAGATGTTTAAGTGTCCTACCTGTTGTGTAAATTATCCATTACATCCTATTTTACTTGTCCAGAGGGTTCGAAAATATTTTTAAATCGAAGTTTCATTTGAAAAGGTTTACGTTAGACGTTTCAAACCATTATGTTGAATTTTTCAAATTTTTTAAATAAGGTGTGTTAAGATAAAATGTGTATCATCAATTAATTGAAATAGTCTACAATAGTACAATTTGTTGACCAGAATAAAGATTGGGACATATTATTCAGTTACAACAAGAGTGGTATTGAGCCTTTAAGACACTACCTTGCACACGGGTGATTTATAATCATTGCTGGTATAATATATGACCGGACTGGACCCACTACATATTCCATATTTCTACCATTTTATTTTCAGTCTGATGCATGCTGCCGATTGGTTTTCTACAATACTCGGAGCAGCTGGTGTTGATATTCGTAAGATTCGTCATTATTTAAACGACACTGATCGTCATTTGAATCCACCGCCAACCACGATATTGTGAACGGTGATTCTCTAAAAGAAAATTAGCTCAAAAATAATTTAATTCCGTTCAATTTTTACAATCATATTTTGCAACATTCAGCATCCTTTGCGGACAGTAGAAACTCGCTCTAGTCACCTGTAATGTTGGGCCATGTTTTAATCTGATTGAATCCAAGCTGGGTGATTAGCTTATGGAGTGTTTGTGTCTCAGCTAATTCGTTACGCGAGAGCTTGTTCCTTTTATTCTGATTTTTTAAGTAGATCGAGGCATTTGTCATCTAAGCTTCAACTACAGGGCTACTTGCCCACTAAACTTACAAAAACCTTTAAAAAGTTTTATTTCAGTCATATTGACTTGATTGGTAAATATAACAAAAACCTGTAAAAAGTTTTATGGCAATCATATTGACTTGATTGGTAAATATAACATGTCTCTTTCGGCAGTTATTCTAGATATATTTAACTGACCCGTATACTATCTCCCTGATTATGTCTACTACATCGTTAAAACTGTTCATCGCGTGCATTTTGCATACGGATAGTCCATTGGCCAACCACGCTATTTTACCGAGATTTCGTCTTATGGTTTAGATGCAGCTATGGCGGGTGTGGCGCCAGGCAGGGTAAGCTTACTCTCCCGGATAGCTGTTACCACTGTTTGTCGTGTATTTTGTAAACGGTGAACAGTCATTTGCTGCTAAAACCATTTTGCCTATACCGTTTTTTAGGACTTCGAATTTTGTCTATGGTTTGGATTGTTCGTACTTGGTTTTATTTTAAATCTAACTTTTTGATTTCTTAATAATAGTTAAGTAATCAATTTGAAAACAGTTTAGCATGGATTAAATCGTGAACAATTAGACATTGTCCGTACAATGCACGTTAAAACAGTGAGAAGAAACAAATTAAACTTTGTTTTTCAAAGTTATTATTGTAATGGTAAAACTTCTTCAGTTTTGGTTTGTTTGGGGTTTTTTTTGTATGGCCTTCATTCTAAAATGTAGCTGATGGTGTCGATGGGTTGAATTTGTGGAATATGATTAGTAATGGTAGTAACAGCACAAGACAGGAAGTTGTCCATAACATTGATGATATATATAATAATTCAGCTATCAGGTAATATTGATAATATACATTATAATAATTCAGCTATCAGGTAACTAAATCTATATTTTAATAGGTTGTCAGCGGTAAGGGACAGGGGACTGGACCTCGTAGAATACTTTATTATTCCAGTCGATGCAGATTTTTATGGAGCCTACCCTAACCCGATTCCCCCACATATTTAGTACGTTTACGGTAATATATCTCGAAAAGCCAACATAGGAGACTTCTGAAATTGTACAGTCTAGTAGTTTATTCATCCCTTGATTCCGTAAAACAAAACAAATTTTGCCACCAAAGCCAGTTTGGAGTGCTTGTTGGTGTAGTGTGGGCATATCCCTTGTTTATTGCACCCGCGAACCCCGCCTCGAATCCAGGTGCTGGGAAATTTGCGGTGGTATAACTCGATACGCCAACATAAAAAGTTAATGAAATTTGGCATGTTCATACCTTATGCACCTGTCAATTGGGTGAAATAAAGATCATGGAGCCACCAAAGCTAGTTTAGAAGTTATTTTGCGCAGCGAGTCTACCCTAACACGATTCCCCCATATTTTTAGTATGTTTACGGTAATATATCTCAAAAAGCCAGCATAGGAGGCTTCTGGATTTTTGTATTCTAGTAGTTTATTCAAACCCTAACTCTGTGCAATACAAAACAGTTTGCCACCAAAGCTAGTTTGGGGGCTTTTTGATGCAGCGTGGACGTACCCCTTATTTATTGAACCCACGAACCCCGCCTCGAATCCGGGTGCTAGGTACTTTGCGGTGGTATATCTCGATACGCCAACATAGAAAGTTAATGGAATTAATGGAATGTGGCATGTTCACACGTTATGCATCTGTCGATTTGGTGAAATAAAGATCTTGGGGCCACCAAAGCTAATTTAGAAGTTATTGCGTGCGCAGCGAGCCTACCCTTACCCGATTCCCTCATGGTATAGTATGTTTACGGTGATATTTCTCTAAAATTTTGTATTCTAGTAGTTTATTCATCCCTTGATTCCATGAAACAAAAAAAAACCATTTGGCCACCAAAGCTGGTTTCGGTGCGTTTTGATGCAGCGTGGACGTACTAATTTTCTGCGTGCTCAGTTAACCAAGTGTGCGATATTTTAGTATGTTTACGGTAATAGTTTATTTTTTTTTCATGGGATGGGGGGTCTATTAAATATATACTTTGCATTAATATGTCGTTTTCTAATATAAAGGTAACAACTATTTTCGTGACAATTATATCTAGGTTTTTTTTGGCACTAGGAATATGTGTGCTAATTTCACTTCGAATCCGGGTGACCTTATGGCTTTATCGCGTAAATTATTAGTTTCCGTAATAGTCCGGACTTTTTTCCGTATGCAAATGACGTTCGTCGTAGATGCCATATAAGGTATATGTTCTACTATGCAAGGTTCTATTATGCATTTGTCAATTATGCAGAATGCAGAAGTGTAATGTGCAAAATTGCTATTATACTGTATTTTGTATTATTGAAAAGTGTATTCTGTATTTTTACACCGTGACATTGGTATTGTTGAGCATTGGAAATTGCAAATTGTAAAACTAAAATACGTATTTTGAACTACTGACATTTGCAGTTTGCACCGTGAACAATGAAATAATATTGGCAACGTTATACTTCCATAGATTTTAAGTCCCATGGCATCTCATTCATATTTTACCAGTTTTATTTCGATAAAAGCAAATAATGAAGGACCGTTTAACGTCTAGCTATTAAGCCCCAAATATAAGGAAAATGTTCTATCCTCCATGTATACTATTGTTGTTACTGCGTAAAATTGACCAGTGAACTAAATATGTTGATATTCCAGACAGGGCGGTATTGCAGACGATAATGATTCACATGGTATTTTATGAAGAACCTTTTGTTATATAGTGAAGTTTAGGGATAGGAAGTGGGATATTCATTCTTACTCCAAGTGCAATGCAGTGGTCACTGACGCAATATATGACTTACAGATTACTTGTATATTGACGATGGGAATTACCACTAATACATAGCTTGCCCACAAAACATGGAGGAATCAGTTTTGTTCTTGTGTTTGTAGAGATTCAAGATATAAATTGATGTTTGGTAATCCAGGTCGATATAATACATGGTATCCATTACCTGGTGTAGATGGTCACAGTCAACTAGCCCCAGAGATAACAGATCTACCAGAAGTGCAGCTCTTTGATCTACTAGGTAAATATGGTATACTATGGCATATTTCCCCGATACTACTTTTTCCACGTTATTTGGTACGTTCTCCTGATAAAAACTAAATTAAGGTTCAGGATTTTGCCAAGACAACGCTGATGGCATCCCAATAAACATTGTATTTATATATTTACAGAAGATCCTGGTGAACATTATAATATTGCTGATCAAAATCCAGATATTGTACAAAGATTGACAGATCGTCTCAACCTTTACAAGAAAACCGCCATTCCTGCTCGCTACCCAAAAGGTGACCCAGCATCCAATCCTGATAATTTTGGAGGTGTTTGGTCACCAGGGTGGTGCTAAGTTATAAATATTTGGTGATTAGAATTCATATTATAAACATCTTTTGTAAAAGAATAAACAATTTAAAATTAATTGAGAAGGCATTTTGCCTAAAAGAATAAACACAGGACAGGAGACAGACATCCAAACAGATTTATCAATTTCGTTTGGTATTAACAGTGGTCACAATTGTTATCCGATTTTGATGAAACTTGAAATATAGGTCTACCTCCCAAGGATCTGGGTTCCTTTCGTTACTGGCGTGTGTCGTGCCATAACTTTATGAATTATGGCCGACGATTGTACAAAAAAAATACGTTTTTAGCTTGGGGACACTCAAGAGGTCACAATTTTTATCAGATTTTGATGAAACTTGAAATGTATGTTTATAACCCAAAGTTATTGGTTCCTAGCGATATTCGCGCATATCGGATCTTAACTTCCTGAATTATGACCCCTGATTGTACGAAATATCGCGTTTTTAACTCTTGGTCCCTCAAGATGTTTGAATATATCACCGTTACATCCTAATGATGGTTGAGTCCGCATTATGGAAAGTGCTATTCTGATTTATCATTAAAATTATTAGTACAATGAAATCAGGCGAGTCACGGGGTCTCGGTGATTAAGGCGCTGTCTCAAGTTCAATGTATCTCGGGATTTTACAGAGTCGTTTCCCATTGGCAATGTTGCACGGCGATGACAACCTGGTGCGATGACAATTTGATTTTCCGTGTACACGTTGGCGCAGATGTTAAAGGGCGCCGGAAAAGGGGAATTTAACGAATGGTGGATTGAAACGCCAAATTTATCTCATAGCACACTGAATGGCGTATTTCCGTCATCTTTCTCCCGGTTGGATTCAATGTCTTGAGGAACGTTGTTTCATTATTTAGTACAGACCAACATATGTCCCCCATTCAAAATCACCAAATATGCAGATGGCATCCATGGTTATAATCTGGCTATAACATTATCAGGATATGTTTCCAAACGGCGCAGATTGTCACGGGACGTCGGGAATCTGGCACTTTTCTGGTCCACAGTCATGAGCTTTGGCGCTCCTCTTGCAGAAGCATTTGTCATTCCTAGCTCGTTGAGAGGCCCACAACGATGGCAATATGTCGAGTGGTCAATCGTCGATTAGTCATTACCATGCCATGTACCAAGGTAATGTTTTCCTGAATGGTTGCTGTTGATGGTCTTCCAGGGTGTCGGTCATCGTCAAGGCTCCCTCTGGCACGCTTAAATGCCGCAGTTCAGTTCTGTACAGTGGAAAAGAAATGGGCGTCGACACACGATTTAGCGTAGATTTTTTATTATCGTAGCAACGGTGGTTGACATCGAGAATAATCCATTTTATCGAAGTCAAAATAAGACCTGCAATAGGCAGATAGAGCTCTTACATAATACATCTATAAGAAGTTTATCGACAATACCATACAATGTCTTTCTAACTTATAGCACCACATAGTTCCTCCCATCCTAAATAATTTGCCCCATTTCTCCTTGACTTTCTGCAAATCACTAAATGCCATCCATTTACAAACAAAACAAGCCAACAGTGAGGCTGATGTCCCCCGCCGAAATCCCCAAATAAATAGATGACACATATTAATTAATCGCACATCTATTTTTTTCAAAAGTATCGAGCAATCAATCTGATTATCAACTATACACTAAGTTTCATCACTCTCTATCAGATAGAATCAAAGTTATCTTGTCCCAAAGCATCGACCAAGGAAATTGCTTATCTCTGCTTAGCTTTAGCTCGATATGTTAATCATTGAATTTGGTCAAGACGAACATCAAGTTAGAAGCAGAGTTGTTATGTTCCAAAGCAGACAATTCTCATCATCGAACTTAGGGAAGGTATTGATGTAATGAAACTATACACCAAGTTTCATCACTCTCACTTAATAAGAACTCAAGTTATCATGTCCCAAAGCATCAACCAATCAAACTGCTTATCTCTACTTACCATAACCAGAAAATGCTCATCTTCGCACTCTTATCAAGGCATTGACCTCATAAACACCTACACCAAGTTTGAACATTCTAGCTCAATTAGAAGGAGAGTTATTGTGTTCTAAAGTCTCTGCCAATCAAATTGCTTATCGTTCTGCTTACCCTCAGCAGAAAATGCTCAATATCGAACTTAGTCAAGGTTTCATCACTTTCACTTAATTGGAACTAAAGTTATCGTGTCCCAAAGCATCAACCAATCAAATTGCTTATCTCTACTTACCCTAAGCAGAAAATGCTCATCTTCATACTCCATCAAGGCATTGACCTAATAAACACCTACGCCAAGTTTGAACATTTTACCTCAATTAGAAGGAGAGTTATTGTGTTCCAAAGTCTCGGCCAATCAAATTGCTTATCGCTCTGCTTACCCTGAGCAGAAAATGCTCATTATCGAACTTAGTCAAGGTATTGATGTAATGAAACTATACACCAAGTTTCATCACGCTCACTTAATTAGAACTAAAGTTATCGTGTCCCAAAGCATCAACCAATCAAATCGCTTATCTCTGCTTACCCTAAGCAGAAAATGCTCATCTTCGAACTCCATCAAGGCATTGACCTAATAAACACCTACACCTAGTTTGAACATTCTAGGTCAATTAGAAGGAGAGTTATTGTGTCCTAAAAAGTGTGACGGACAGACAGACTGACAGATAGACGGACGAACCCATTTTAATAATCCCCTGCTTTCTTCGAAAGGCGGGGGACAATAAATCTTGATCTGAGTTTAAAGGGACAATAACACTCTTGCTGGCTTGACAGCTCCAGTAAATAAATATTAGCCTTATTCTAAGTATTAGATGTTTAAGTGTCCTACCTGTTGTGTAAATTATCCATTACATCCTATTTTACTTGTCTAGAGGGTTCGAAAATATTTTTAAATCCGATCCTATCTGTTGTGTAAATTATCCATTACATCCTATTTTACTTGTCCAGAGGGTTCGAAAATATTTTTAAATCCAAGTCACATTTGAAAAGGTTTACGTTAGGCTTTTCAAATCATGTAGTTGAATTTTTCCAATTTTTTAAATTAGGTGTGTTAAGATGAAATTTGTATCATGAATTAATTGGAATACTGTAAAATAGTACAATTTGTTGACCAGAATAAAGATTGGGAAATATTATTCAGTTACAACAAGAGGGGCATTGAGCCTTTAACGTCGAAGGCATTAACATTTTTTTTTCAAATTTGGTGGTAACAATTGGGGCCATGAGAGGATGTACCACATCCATTGTCAGCTTTTCACGACTTTCTTTTCCGGACTTATTCCCCTTTGCCGAAAACCTTGTGAACGCGATATAAGCTACAGTTTTCAAAAGATTTGCCTGTGAACGTGACAGGCTACAATTTTTGACGTATTCTTTTCAAATTTGGTTCCAGAGTCACGCCCTCCTGTTCCGAAAACTTGTTTTTAATACATGTAGATTGTTTTTTAAATTCAGTAAAGACAGGACGAGCCCTATCGATTTTCAGCTTTCCGCAACCTTCAATTCCAGAGTAATCCATCATTTGGCGAACGCGATATAAGCTACAGTTTTTAAAAATTAATTTCAAATTTGGTTTGAAGCATTGGGGTGATAATAAGAACCTTATTGATAAGAGTTACCTACCTCTTATTCGGTCAAAACCCTATGAGAAGAAACTGGGAGCCAGATGATACCTAGAGTAATTGGCCAGTCTGGTATGATAGTAACGCTGATTGTAAATAAATACAAATGTGTATGCGGGAAGTGGGGTATCAGGTACTCTATTCAACCCGTCCAACTATTACGAGATCACGAAGATAAATGCCGCTATTCACAAGTGGAGTATCATTACTCCCGAAGTAATTTAGTTTGTGTCGAGACGGAGTGAGCCTTAACCACTTTTCTGCCTCTCTCTTTCAAAAAGCGATAACCACACTTCTGCAAACATACTACAAGTCTGATATTACTGAGCGCCATGGAAAACGCTTTTTTTCCCAAATATTTTATTACTATGTGGTTTTGTATGTATAATATTATGCAATACTATGAACTATTGTTTCACACAATGCTCCGAAACGCAAAAAATATCGGCCATTGTGCACAATAAAAAATTGCACGAGATGCACATGAAAAACTCAATATTCACGTGCAGCATTGTGTGTGAGCCCTTTAAAAGCATGTTTTCAACTTAATGTGCAGTACATGAACTGTGAAACGTCAATCTGTCGTAATCTGTTGTTGGACGTTGAAGGAATCGAGCTAGAGATGCCGAGACTTACTGAAAATCAACGGAATGAAGCCATGGGAATGTCCAGGGCTGGCATGTCTACACGTGCTATTGCCAGACACTTCAATTGTCATCAGTCCACTATTGTAAGGTTGGTGGAACGTGTTCGAGTTACTGGATCATCACGTGACCGTCAACGTCCTGGTCCACAACGCGTTACAACCCAGGCTCAAGACCGCTACATCCGGGTCACTCATCTGCGTGACAGATTCCGCCCAGCGACTCGAACAGGTGCAGCAGTCGTCGGAAGACAAGGACCAGTAAGTGCCAACACCGTAAGACGTCTAAGAGTAGTAGGACTCCGTGCACGACGACCTTATGTTGGAGCTATCTTCAGGGATCATCACCGTCAGCGGCGTTTGATATGGGCTCAAGGACAAAAGACATGGAAAAGAGTAGACTGGCAAAGTGTGCTCTTCAGTGATGAGAGTCGCTCCTTTGCTGGCTCCCCAGTCACATGGATATAAAAGGGAATGATCAAGCAGATTTGGCTGCCAAGTCTGCTTTAGATCTTCCCATATCTCAATTTTTAATACCTTTCAATGATTTTAAATTTTCTATAAATTCTTTTATATATGACCGCTGGCAACGGTCTTGGGATCTTGCAGACACAAATAAACTTCATCACATTAAACCTCTCATAGGAGACTGGCCAAACTCCTATAGAGGGATGAAGTTGTTTTGTGTCGCTCTCGTATTGGTCATACTTTTTTAACTCACATTTTCATTTTGAAGCGAGAGCCGCAACCAGAATGTGTTCACTGTCATGTTCCTTTGACAG